GGGGGGGGGGGGGGGGGGTGTTTTCATGTCCAATACAAATAAATTGTAAATTAATAATTACAAGTTAAATTAACTAGATTAAAATGTTGTTTATTTATAATCCAAACTTCAAAGGTAAAGAAATCATAAAGTTTTAAATCACAATTTATTCATATGCACTATGGTTTTTTTAAAACAGCCCAAAAATTATAGGGAAACTTATGAGTGAGATAGATACACAATTTTCAAGATGGAGGATCTCCGTTTGCTTATAATTTGTAGCACAGATTATAAAAGTTTCGCTAGCCTGGTTTCGGCAGTGTTATTTGCGGTCTATAACACTCAGTTATGAAATAAAACACTTCATACTCATAAACTCCATTTAATTTGTTTAAAAGCGATGTTTTTACAATGTATAGTTAGTTTTGTGGGACTACACATATAAAAATGATTTTAATACATAATTAATAAATAAATAATAAATTAACAAATCGTTGACTTCAAACGTTTTTAAAGAAAATATTATTTTTTATGCATAAGTTTTTGCGCTTATTTTTTAGTTTTCAAAATGACTATCATGACATTAAATTATATTTTATCCAGTCTTTATTTACAACAATATAACACAATAACCTTAGTTGTATTAATGCTAAGGTTAAATTTACACTTTTCGCAACCTAGTTATCACTGACAGCCAAGATGTTTCTACTTCTAATAAGAGTTTAAGAAAAACAAGCAGCTATTACTATTAAGTAGATATCTATAGTAGGTATCTTGATGTTGATACATGGCTGTGTGTGCTGACGAACAGTGTGATTAAAACCAACTTCTGTGTTCCAGAAAATATTCACTCTAATGGTCCAGACATCCTGCTTGTGCACAGGCTATGGAATCATTCCATTCAGTCAAGGTCACAAAGGCAGAAACCCTCAGGATAGCTTTCAAAATGTAACACATTCACTGCCACCAATCAAACTTGCAAGTTCACTTAGACCATGAATCATATTGACATGTTGTCACTATTCCTTTTCTCCAATGCTATGGCTATCCGTGTGATGGCTTCTGCTTGGGTCATGGCAGCTTCAGATATGTGTTTCAGAGCCTCGGACTGTAGTAACATTGCCTCAGCACTCTTGGCAGCTACACTTGCTCTATGCTCTTCAGCTTTTGCTCGAATAAGTTCAGCCTCTGCGCGTTTTTTCTCTACTTGAATCAACCATTTTGGATACAGACCTGTAATGAGAAAAATCAGTTTTACTATTATTATCAGTACTTTTAATAGATAAATTAGTTGTTGGGTCTGTCTGCAATCTTGAGGCATGAGCCTATTCTATGTTATGGATGAAAATCTGGCCTGCTTAGTAAAAAATCAATATTAAAAAAAAAACATAAAAGGAGAAAATAATTAAACATACTTTGTATGAGAGGTTCGTTTGAATTTTGGTCAGAATCTTCATCAAACTCATTATTTATGTCCATACATTCTTCAACTCTATCTCCATCTAAAAATAGATAAAACAGTTAGGAAGTGGGAATAATTATAAAACACTTTCATATTAATGCATTTATGCTACGTCCTTAAAAAGAGGTGCAAATTTTTCCTTTGACATATATAGATTGCCTTTTGTAAAACAAAAAAAAGGTTGAATTTACCTGATAACCTATCACTAGTGTCACTTTGAGCTTTACCGAAATCACTGAAAACATCATCTTGATAAGCTTCTAACTTTATTTCTGGTGGCATTTGACTCTGGAACACATAAATAACTGTCCTTGATAAATCATAGTCTTGTCCAATTCTATAACATCCATAAAAAGCCAATTCTCTGCCCCTTTGAAAAAAAAAATTCTCAAATTTATACTAGAATTGTGTCGCCTTAGCTTGAAAAATTACCCTAGATACAAAAGCATCTTCATTTGACTTCTTTATATGAGAATGTTTAGGATAGGATTAAGTTAAAAATTATCACATAAAATAGTAACTTACAGTCATTGCATTGTTAGAGAATTCACACTTTCTCCTGGCCTTTTTTCTCTCAAAATAGGGTCCCAGTATCACAAGAGCTCTCTTTTCTAGTTTACTTAATTGTGTTATGCCTTTTTTTGATACTGATGTTGATCTCTGTCTCTTGTTTAATATGCTCACTTTGTTT